GTGCAATAATTTGCATAGTAGAGTAGAAATATGCCGCATGAGTCATCAATTCAAGTGAGAAGAACTTGGTTCATGGGATTTGTAGTGGACAAAAGCCAAAACAAATTGTTTTTATAACAACTAATTCGACAACACAAGTGCTACCCCTTGATCATTATGGGCATATGATACTATTCTAGCTATTTTCTTTTGTACGGGTGATTTTAATCCCGGCGTAGGAGGGTTCGTACGAGTGGAACTATCAACTCTCATGCAATGCTTAAAAAAGAAAAATGAGAGAAATTTGGGATGGTTTTTTATGTATAACATTTTCTAAATTGTATGGAAAAATTGTTTAATTTGTCAGAACTTTTAGGAGGGACAGGCTCACGAATGCTGGAAGACATTCAAAGTTAGAGATGATGGAAATGCCTATGAAAATTTGGCGAATTTGGAGAAAACATATGCGAATTTGGGCCGGGTGGCAATGTAGATATGAAGCCAAACGGCTTGTATTCATCGGTTGGTGCATTTGTTAGGGATGATGGAACTCAATAATTTGATAGACTTGAAGGGAACACTAGGTGGATTTGAAGTGGGGTGACGATATAGCAAAGTAATAATGCAATGACTGAACAATTGTATTTGAAGGGCTCGTGATAGATCCATTTGTCGGCCCGTGACAACGCACGGGCATTCTACTAGTGTGGCCTAGGGCATGACCTCGCCAACCGTCATCGGTGATCGATCAGATCATGGGGTGCTGGGGTTTCGGCTAGTTGGGGTTGGGGAGGCGGCTAGTCTTTTCGGGACAGGGAGGAGTTATTATTTTGAAGTGAAGGACGGAAGGAGGTGCGTGCCGTGAAAGAAACTCATGGATAATTCGTTGTTGGGCCAAATTGGATTTACGTGCGAATTTGACGTACAGGCAGAAAACAAAATGTTGAAACATATACAATAATAGTACCACCTCGTTTATATTACGATTTTGTCTATACAAATCGTAAAAGCGTATTATGAGATGAGAAGAAAGCGTATTGTGACGGTGAACCAACGGAGTTAAGCCGTTTTTTATTATTGGGCGCTACTAGGCCCCGGCGCACCGGCCCAACCTTTCGGCCAGTCCGCTGCTGGCCACCCGATCTAAAAGCTGTGAACCATCAGATCGCGTGTCGTTTTTCTTTTCTTTCCCTATCCTTTTGCCTTGCATGCACAGAAAAAAAAACACAACAAAACGCCATCCATCCTTGCCCACGCGACCTCGAAGCTCCGCTGGCTACTCGTCGTTCCCCGCTCGATGCTCGTCGTCGGCGTCGGCGCTAGGAGATTGTAGCAAAAAATAGCAACGCCAGTTTGAAAGCAAAACACATGGTTCCAGCAAATAACTAATATGGTTCCAGCAAAACAATAATGTGTTTCCAGCAAGAATGATGTGTTTCCAGCGAAACACATTGATATGATTCCAGCAAAAAACAAACATGGTTCCAACAAAAAAATATATAGTTCCAGCAAAATATTGAAAAAGTGGTTTCCAACAAAAAAAACGATGCAGCAAAAAAAAAGTCATGGCCTCGCCGTTGTAGCCGCTCCAACACCATCCTCGGCGATTGTAGCAGGTCAAAAAGCTGGTTCCAGTAAAAATCCTATGCAGCAAAACACATGGCACCCCGCCGTCGTGGCCGCCCAGCACTATCCTCTCCTGTTGCAGCAAATTAAGAAACTGATTCCAGCAAAAATCGGAAGTGTTTCCAGCAAAAATCAAAAAAGGCAGCAACTTACCGCATCCCACCACCGTCGCCGCTCACCACCATCCTCGCCGGTTGAAGCAAATCCCCACGCCGGTTCCAGCATCGCATCTCACTGGTCGAACGTGTTACATCAGACATCGTCGCCGGTCAGAGGACGCAATAGGCTCCGCCGCAGAACGGACTCTCCACGGCCTCGCATCCATGGGCCCGGCTCGCCGTGGCCGTGGGCGCAGATCGCCACGGTGGTGTTTGGTGGAGCAGCCATGGAAGAGATATAAGAAACAGAAGGTGGGCAGTGGCCATGGACGGCCGGCACCGCGTTGGCGGTGGCTGAGAATCCCTGCGGCGACGCGGTAAGACGAGGTGGAGCAGGTGAGATGGAGCGGCGCGAGATGGGAGGAATGGATGTGGTCGTTTAAGCCTCCGAGAAGACAAGGTGAGGGGAGAGTGGTGGACGGGCCCCACTGAAGATACGTACGCACGCGCGACGCCCGTGCGTGGCCGGCCCAATTTTCAGCCGGTCCGCCGGGTACAAGCATTTACCGTTATTATTAGGGAAGATATCATGGGGGAAAAGCCCTCTTGGGTACGCGGAGTGAATTGCAGAAAACATCGACATTGAAGGCTAGGTTTGCAGGAATCACAATTCTATAATTTTGTGCCAAAAACCACTAATTCTGAGGCTAATTATTTTTTGCAAAAAACACTAGTCGCCAGCTTAGAACGTTTTGAGCACGATTATGACAGGAGGGTCCCGCTGGACAGGGCGGCGTGGCACAATATAACAGATCATAAATAGAAAAAATAGAAAAAATAGCATGGACTAAACTGTAAAAGGACCGAAGAGGATAAGGTTGATGCAGTAAACAAAGAAAATCTGGCATCGTCTTCCTGCTGCCCAGCCGCCGAGCTCAGCCCCGGCGTGCACATCCGGTCTGCTCCCGGCGTCCAGCCGCGCCTCCGACGTCCACCGACGAGTACCCGGACCCATCGCTGCCTCCAAGTCCTTCGCCCCCCGTCGCTGCCTCCAAGTCCTTCGCCGCGACCCGTCGCTGCGTGCCGCCGCCGCCCCGCAGGTTCCACGGTGGCGTCGTGTTGACCACGGAGTTCAACGCCTCCACGCACAAAAGCTCGTCGGCGCCAAGTCCTTCCGCAAGGAGCTCGTTTCCTCCTCCTCCCCCTCGCTCCCTAGCGTCGGCGCCGGCCTCCCAATCCGCGCTCCTTGGCCCACGTTGGCGTGGTGACTGGTGAGGGAGGGCGCCTCACCGCGGCCGGAGCTCAAGCCGCCGCCGCCCTTGCTGCTCACCTGCAACGGCGCTGGCGAGGTGACGGGGAGGCACACCGGATGGAGCAGCCGCTGCGTAGGCCATGTACGGGCACGAGCAGCAGTGGCGTCGGCCACGCTCACCGTCCATCCCGGCCTCACGCCACGTTTCCCCCGGCTCTCAATGGTGGCAGCCCGGAGAGGAAGTGGCTGGCGGCGTCCACCACCGGACCAGTGGGAGACGTTGGTCACGGAGGACCTGATTGCCTTTTTTAAGGGCCCTTTTGCAAATCACGAATGTATCAGAGTGTATTTAGCCTTTTTTTTCTTTGCCACATCGCCCTGTCGAGTGGGACCTCCCTGTCATAATCGTGCTCAAAACCTCCTAAGCCGACGACTAGTGTTTTTTGCAAAAAATTAATCTTGAAATTAGTGGTTTTGACACAAAACTGTAGAATTGTGATTTCTGCAAACCTAGCCTTCAATATCGATGTTTTTTTTGCAATTCACTCGGGTACGCGGCAGCGGCATGAACATGTGCAGTGGGCTGCTGAAGGTGGTGAGCGACCACAGGAAAGTTAAGATACTGTGAGCGGCATGAACATGTTTCAAAGAAGATGTCGTTTACCTGGATCTGCTAAAATCTGTGGAATGAATAAATTGTCTTTTCTAAACAGGAAATATCGAAGATTAAATTGGGACAAGTTGCATTTATTTTTCTCTTCTCTACAACTAGTCTCTCATGCATATTAATATCCAGCACACCTTCCTGGGAAAAAAAATCCTCTCCTCCTTGACACAACTAAAATCCTAAGCCCCCGCCCAAGGGTGTACGCGGTGTACGGTGTACCACTAGCCCCTGCCAAACGTAAATGTGCCAGCGGGTTGCAGGACTTGCTGACGGTGGTTGCATGAACATATGCAGTGGGAATGCTGAGGGTGGTGAGCGACCACAGGAAAGTTAAGAGTATTGTGATCATCTCACAGATTGCTAGATGTTTCATGTGATGTAGACTGTACATGCATTAGAGCATCTTCAATAGATGGTCCAAAATTTGGCGGTCCAAAACCGGAGATGTAAAATTTGGACCGTCAAAAAATGTGTTTTGGAGCTCCGAAAAAAGCTCAACTCCAACAGATGGTTCAAATTGATGGTCCAAAAGAGCAACTCCAATAGATGGTCCAAAATGAAGATGTAAAACGACATACTACTAGTCCATTCAACATAGTTCAAACATCAAATTCTTCGGCGCCATCGGAGAGCGGTGGAGCGGCGTGCGGCCGGGGTGGTGGCGGATGGAGCCGGGCGGTGCTGCGGGGCGGCGGTGACGTGCGGGGCGGAGTTGCGGGGCGGCGGTGGCGGAGTTGCGGGGCGGCGGTGGCG